AAAAAATGGAAATAAAGTCTTTGTAAATAGGGAAGGGTGGAGGGGGTGAAGGGAGGGCTAGGAATGGGGAAAAAATAAGAAGCAAGATGCATCATGTGAAGGTACAAGTTCCCAATGAGAAATGTAATTATGTTGTATACCTAAAATGTACCAATAAAAGAATTTTTAAAAAACAAACAAACAAACAAAAAATTACCTACCTGGGGTCCAATCAAAGATTTTTCTCTTCTCTTGCTGTGGGGTGGGGTGTGCTCTAAGAAATGCCTCAGGTCTGATAATCAACCATGCCCCTCTCTAGCCATTTGTAAAATCCAAAATTAAGGATTAGAGTCACTGACTAGAGAATTGGGGAGCACAAGATGCTTTGTTGGAATATCTAGGTTTTAAGTAATAAAATTCCTTACTTTTCTTTCAAAACAAAGAACAGCCTTAAGTAAGAAGACGGTGTGCAGTTCTTTCCATTTATACAACTCTTGGGACTTTGGGATGTTTGTACTCAATGGATAAGTGGTAAAAAATATATAGGTGGTTGACAGTTCATCAGTGAATTAGTCATTGTTATCAATTTTCAAAAGAAAAGGCAGGAGGATTAGACATTTGAGTCTTGCCTAGGCAACTTAGTAAGATCTTGTGTCAAAATACATACATACATGCATATATACATACATATATACATACATACATACATACATAGGGCTGGAGGTATAGATCAGTGGTAGTGTGCCCCGGGTTCAATTCCTAGAAGGGGGGGGAAGGGGGGGGAGAGAGAGAGAGAGAGACAAAGAGACAGAAATAGAGACAGACAGAGGCATACAAAGAGTGATATATAGAGAGATGAGAGAGAGAGACAGGAAGGAAGGAGGAGAAAGAGTGGAGAGTAGAAAGAGGAAGAGAGAGAGAAGAAAGAGAAAAGAGAGAGGAGAAGTGGAGAGTGGAAAGAGGAAGAGGAGAGATAGAGAGAAGAGAGAAGAAAGAGAGAGAGAGAGAGAGAGAGAGAGACTATTTCCAAAGCATTGGGCTAGACATCATATCTCATGGACTTTAGAACTTAGAGCTCAGAATGAACTTAGTGAACAGCAAATAATTATTTGTTGGAGCTATATAAAATGCCAATATTTAACTGCCAGACATGTAGAAATAACACTTCGTTTTAAACTATATTTACACAACAGAATATGTTAAAATTGTGATTAGAGCTATGAATATCTCAAAACAGGAAGTATATTAACTTGAGAATTGAAAGGCAAACCCCATGTCTGGAACACAAGTAGTGGTAGAGACTGGCTCAAGATATATCCATACCAGAGGTCAGGGAGCTGGCAGGGCTGGCAGACTACGATGGCTTTGGATTTAATCTTCATATAATAGAAGATGCTAAAAAACATTTTCTCAACATTTTTTTATGAAATTTTTTAAACATAGAAAAATGTTGAGGGAATTTCACTATGAATCCTTGTGTACCCATTACCCAGATAATATTATAAACATTACTATATTTGGTTTTATAATTTATCAGGCTATTCTTCTATCTGTTTATTCATTCACCATCTCATTTTTGAGGCATTTAATAGTAAATAGCAATCATCAATACACTTTACTCCACATGTCATAAACTAGTGTGGCCCACATGTCATAAACTAGTGTTCCATATTTGTAAACACTCTTTAAAGGAACATTTACATGATGTGATGTCACATATTTTAGGTGTATTATTCAATAGGCAGTAAAGGGATTTGTTTTGTTTTGGTTTTTACCAGAGGAGTAACTTAGTTAGATTTGCAGTTTTTCCAAGATTACTCTACCTTTTTTGGCTAAGCAGTATCAAGGGAATGTGGGGAGATAAGACTGATGAAAAATCAGCGAGGTAGTTATGAAAGTAGTTTAGATGCAGAAGATGGTGAAGAACTCAAGTGGTGGCTGTGGGGACAGAGAGAAGATGAATTTAAGGGACGTTTTCGTAGCAACACTGAGCAGATACTAAAGTATGGACTTGACTTGGGGTGATGAAGGACAAGCAGGGTCAGATTGATCAGGTTTCTTGGTAGGTAGGGGATCTGTTTTATGAGATGAGCTAGACTTTGGTAATGGGGTTAAGAGTCATGGCTGCATGTCTGGACATGAACTCATAGGTGCAGACTTCAATTAGAAAATAAGTAACACTGAACTTGAAACTACCTTTTTCTCTTCCCAGACTTCTCTGGACTCCAATCTTAGTTTCCATGTGTGCCCCTAGGGGTCCAGAATAAAGAGTCCTAACTCAGAGTCTGACGTCACTCTCAGCTATCTTGGGGTCACCTGGAGTTTTGTCTTTCCATCTTTTAAATAAGCACCTTTACCCTCCTCTTGAACTGCTGGAAGTAGACAAATCACAGCTAATTCCCCCTCTGATGCTCTTAGAAAAAGAAAACAATAAATCTAAGGGATTTTAGTGGAGGCCAGCACGTGCATGCTGGGCAGCCTGGCTCAGGTGCTCCTGGGCATCAGGCAGGTCTTGCAATATTAACCCCCCTACTTCCTGTGACCAAGAGTGTCCCCACAGAAATACTCACTGACCCAATTCTCATACTCCTACCCCTTTGTTCACGTCTAAGTCCAAATAGCTACCTGAGGAGAAGTCCTCACTGGTTACTCAGTGGCTTTGACTCTGCTCTTGAGAACTATGAGTTTTAACCTAGCAGCCCAGGTAGAAACCTGGCTCACTTTCACAGGGGATGTGCTATCTCCCCATCTCTGACTTTGAGTGACTTGAGGACATGGAACACTGATCTCTAGACCCCACAGACAGTCAGGAAATGATTGAGGAAGAAGGAATGGAGGGAGAATATTATACTCACCACACATTTATTGAGCACAGAGAACATAAAAGTATATTAGACCCAGTGGAAAATGGGAGATAAGCGAAGAAATTACAGTGTAGTTAATACATGGCATGATAAAGGTATTCAAGTCAACCAGCACCTACAGGGTTGAGACTGGGAATCCCAGGACAGATGACATGTGAAGTGAATTTTGACAGATGACAACGTGGCCCACCTCAAAGGGAGGAAAGGTATCTGCCAAGGCAGGAGGGCTTTCTGCATGGGTACAAACTTTCCTTTGAGGTCAGGCCCTTCTAGAATTTTGTTCCAGCTCAGCCATCACATGCAAGCATAGTTCTTTCTAAAACACCTTAGGATAGAAAAGACTTTCCAAATACAACCCCAGAGGGGCTTTAAAGTACATTTTCTGACCTCATCACCTCTTTTTCTCTTTTTGTCAGTAAGAAGTGACAATAATGCAAGTAGAAAAGCCATGGGTTCAAATCCCAGCTCTGCCTCTGAATCCCTGTGACATTGAACAAATGAATTCTTTCAGAGGAGGTGGATACTCCCTGTATCACATGGCTGCTGTAAGCACAAAATGAGATCATGTGTGCTTGAAGCAGATAATGATAATAACAGCTAATCTCTATTGGATTCGTACTGGCTTATGCCAAGAACTTATATGACTTTCTCATTTACTCCTCACAACATTAAATAGCTGTGATATGCAGTATGATGTTATCACTTAATTAATTTTACATGGGAAGAAACTTAGGCACACAGAGGAGCTAACTCAGTAGAAACAGAATCATAGCTAGGTAGGTTGATCTCAGAAACAAAATGTTTAATAATTATGCTAAAACCCCTTTTTAACCCCAAACACTCTTAACTGTGAACTGTGAACCCTTCTGAAGATCAGTCTCTGTCCCTAAAAAATGTTCATACATTGTGCATACAAATTCAGAGGGTTTCCTGAATAGCCCCCAAAGTCTATCCATGAACTCCAAGTTTATAACCCTGGGATACCAAACTACCAGGCCAGACTGTGCTGAACCCACCCACAGAGTTCAGGAAGAAGAGAGAAAAAAAAAACAGACAAGTAGCCCAGGGAGGGTGTCTCCAACTTGCTCAGACTACTGGGAGGTGTAGTCTGCCACAGGAAAAGAGCTGAACACTCTACCCCCGGAGGAGAAGGAGGCTGGATGCACTGATGCATCGGATGACAACTAAAGTCAGGACAGAGAGGGCTGGCCCTGAGCCAGAGCCAGAGTGGCACCTCCTAGTTCAGAGTATCTCTCTAACTCAGGGTGGGGTTACTGAGGCCACAGTGCCTGCCAGGGATCTACAGGGAACCAGAGCTGCATGCATGTGGAAGCAATAGCAAGGTTCAGCCTGGGCCTCAAGACTGGGTGGTACTGGCCCAACCCAGCCATGTGTCTACAAATCCAGACCAGCCCTGGCCTGGGGAGGCTTGAGGAGGACCTGGCAGAACTCACTTCCCAGGAAGGTGGTTGCCCAGGATAGGGTCCAAGAGGCCTGGCCTGAGGATAGAGCTAGACAGGAGAGACCACTTCTCAACAGTCCATGGAAATGGAAGGTCCCAAGCTGCCTTGGAGGATGAATTAGCCCACATCCTGATGGGACTCAGGGCTTTTTCTATTTTCTAATCAGAAAGGCCTACAGAAGTTTTTGTTTTGTTTTTTTCATGTGTTTCAAGATTTCAAGGTGAAGGGGTAGCTTTTATCAACTTTCTTATTTTGAAAAGTTTATAGACTCCCTCAAAGTTACATTAATAACACATAGAAACACTTCTGTTTGTTTAGCTTCCTCCAGTGGTCACATTTATAACTGTAATACAAGGTCAAAACGAGAAGACATGCACTGGTAAAATGCTGTGAAATAAGCTACAGTCCACAGTTATCAGATGTGTGTGAAACTTTAAACACGAAGTTTACATGGACAGGACCTCATCTCAGTATTGGACCACCAGGACCTGAAGTAAGGTTGGTGCTATTTTAATTGGGAGGCAGAGCAAGAGGCAAAGAGGGGATCAGGAGAGAAAAACAAAGCAGCAGTCGCTTTGGGGCGATAACTTGACATATTGCGGGGCTCGGAGGAAGGCTCACTTGACCTGAGACCTTCCACAAACCCCACTGCATGAACTCAGGTAACTCAGGCAGAAGGAGCCTGGGGCACCCCCTATGCTTATTCTATCCAGTGGGTTGAATAATGGCCCATAAAAGCACATGCTCATATTCTCACCTCCCAAAACTATGAGTATGACCTTATTTGGGAATGGGGTCTTTTTTGTAGATGTAAAGAATTTAAAGATTTTGAGATCATCTTCAACTATCCACTCAAGCCGTAAGCCCCATGACGGGAGGCACCCAGGGAGGCACAAAGAGAAGAAAAAGCTCAGTGGGAAACAGAAAGGAACTAAATTGACTTCAGCCCACAGGGAAGGCCAACAGCCACCAGAAGCCCAGACTGCAGGGATGCATTGTCTGCTAAAGCCTTCAGAGAGTGTGTCTTCCTCTTCACACCTTTGTTTTGGACTTCCATGCTCCAGAACTGCAAGAGAGCAAATCGCTGTTGTAATAAGCCAGTTTGTAGTCATTTGTACGTCATCCCTAGGAAACTAATGCATTCTGCAATACAAATGACTTATTCCCATACCCCTTCGCCTTTTCCCAGACAGGCAGATAGACACAGTGCAATTTGTTTCTTAACTGGGCCTCAGGAGTTGGAGCAGGACTTCTGTTGCCAGTTTTCCAACAAAGACTCTATACACAATGTAGCCCCTTGTCTTGCCCAGGGAGGCAAAGCTGTAAAATGGTTGAACAATGACTCAAACTCATCTTTGGCTCATTTCTGAGCCTGTGATCCTTTCTGAGTTCACTAAAGTCTTTGGAGAGGTACAGCTGATTACCTGTTGGAGCAAGGTTTTGTTCTACAGCTTTGACCTCTTTTTTTAAAATTTCCAACTAATAAGTGCCAGAAGCTGAAAGAGGACACTTCCTTGGTGACCCTCTCACCTGCTCATGCCTCCATGTGAGAAAACACAGTGGTGGTGGACACACCACCTGCAGCAGGCCCTAGGGGACAGTGTTGGAACCCGTATTTCCCTAAACAAGGCAACAGCAGAGCTACTGGCTTCCACTGCAGGAGTCTGCTGTGGCTCTCTCCCAGCAGAACCCTAAAGACTCCCTGGCAGCCAAGTTCTAGGCCAGCCAGTTCCTCTGGTGCCTCTGAAGACCAAGGCACACCAAGTCCTCCTCGCACCCCTGGCCTGGCCTGTGAGAGCCTGTTCCCACTGCACATTTTCCTGCAGGGCTTGAGAACTATTTTATGGGGCTTTGGAGGGGGGAGGGTAGGACAATACATAAGAAGAAAAAAACAGTGCTGTGATTCATATCTTGTATTTGTATCTTATATTGACGCATACATAAGTGTCCCCATAACCTCATTTCCTGAAATAAGACTTGTTGCTTTGGTGAATATATGCATTTCAAAATTTAATAAAACCTATGAATTTACCCTGCAAGGGGTTTGTAGGAATTTATGCATCCAGTCAGCAGTCAGGTTCTGTTTCTCTGCAATTGTACCATAATGATGTGCTATCAAATCTTTTATCTTTGCAAATGAGATAAGTAACAATGAACATATACGTACTATGAAGATACCAGGAATATGTACATATGTGTGCACGTATAAAATTCCTTGGACTGTGCATTTAAAACTCATGTATGGTGCTTCACTGTATGTATGTTACAAACATGCATGAAAAACAGAGCGATGAAGGGCAAAAGAATGTTGAGATTCAGAAATGAGAGGATTCCCTCCTTCCACAGGGTAGTCTTGAAGTGCCTCACAGAAACATTAAGAATAATGAGGCTCCCACGCAGGAGTCAAACACACACAAGGACAGACACAAGGAAGAACATAGCTCTAGGACAGGGAAGGAGCCTGATTTGAGGAAGTGAAAACAGCAAGCTAGGGGGACTGGCCCCAGAGGAGATGGAAAGGTTATCAGAGGCCAGATCAAATAGAGTCTCTTAGGCAAGAGGTTTGAGTTCTTTTTCTCATTAAAATGGGAACCCATTGAAGGGACTGCAGCACATGAATGGCATGATACACTTAATGGTTTTTTTAAAAAACATATAGATACTGAGTGCAGAATGTATTTTACATGAGCAAGAATGGAAGCTCAGAGACAGGTTAGAGGACTGCTTCATTCTTTAAGCCGAGAGATGGTGGTGATTTGACTCAGAGTGATAATAAAAATAGGAAAAGGTGGAAAGATTGTGTATCTATTTAAGAGTAACTGCCTATCAGACATTTATACTAACTGGGAGACTTGGCTCTCTGTATGGGCCAAGTAGATGGGCCATGGATGATGGCGGTCTCAAAAGTGGAAAAAGCTAAGGTAAATTTAGGTTGACTTCATGGGAAGTAGAAGCAAAAGTTGTGACTTAATAATATGAAATCATGGGCCAGGGATTTAGCTTAGTGGTTCCGCCACCTGCCTCGCAATCGCAAGGACCTGAGTTCAATCCCCAATACATATATATATATATGTCTAAGAATCAGGAGGAATCAAACTGGAAACCCATGGGAAAGAGTACCTGGTGGGCTACAAAATGTCTGCCTCTATAAACATTTACACATAGGCCCAAACTATCATCATTTCTGCTCAAGGGTTTATGGACATTATCTTTTTGCAACTATAGAATCAGAACCTCTATATTTTATGGTCACAGTCTTCTTCCCAGTTTGACTCTAAGCTCTTCAAGGGAAGTACTGTGTTAAACATCCTAAAACCCAAGGAACATGGCACATGCTTCTCAAATGGGCATGCAGTTGAGTTGTTGGTTCTTCAGAGATTTAGCTTCAGGGATCTCGGATCATAATCCAGTAGGAGAAGGATGGGCCTGGTCATTGTCAAGAGGAGAAAAAAAAGTCCTAACTCGAATCCTGTTGGAATCACAAGACCAAATACCATTTCCTCCAGCATCCAGATGACTCAACCCAGTTGTTCATGGTGATGGGTCTCATGCCAGCTTTGCCAAGTGAAAACTATGTAAAGCTCAGGTAACTCCACAGAAGTTCTCACCCATCTTCTTTTGTGCCAAACCACCAACAACAACCATCAGTCCCACGTCAAATGTGCTATGACGAAAGTCAATAAGGTTCCCAAACTTGGCTTCTATTGTCTACCCCTACAACTAGCCGTTAACTCTATGACCCCATCTCCAAATTTAATCCTTCCAATTCCCCTGTAAGAACGCTAACATAAAAATCTGATCATTTCACCTCCCTTCTTAAAATCTTTTGGTGGTTCCCATTGCTTTTCAGGTAAAGCCCAAACTCATTAATTCAACACATGTTGCCTTTTATGATCTAGCCTATGACAACTTTGTTACCACCTTTCCACCCATACACGTGGAGTTGCCTACTCAGAGACTTTCTCACTGTTGCCCAAATATTTCAGGCCCACAACTTTATCCCTTAGCTCTTCTCTTGAAAAAAATCATATTTCAAATAAAAACATATGGGAAGATGCAAAGACTTATCAGTGCCCAGGGGAAACACAAAATAAAATAGAATAGTCTTTTTCACTCATAAATTGGTAAAATTGTTAAGACAACTGGTAAAAATTGTTAATAATACCTAGGGACTAAAGAAAGAGGCTATCCATTACTCTTCTGGAAAAAGTGGTAGTAGTTGTGGCTCACCAACATTTAAAAGGCACATGCATTGTCTAGCAGCTGCTGGATTGATTTCTTGTGGTCCCTTACAATTTTGAAGCAAAGTCTTTGTAAATAGGAAGGGATGGAGGGGTTGAAGGGAGGGCAGGGAAAGGGGGAAAAATAAGAACCAAGAGAGGCTATGTAAAGGTGCAAATTTCCAATGATGAATGTCATTATATTGTATACCTAAAATGTACCAATGATTCGAATGAATAATTGATAATGCAAAATAAGAAGAAAAGGTCCAAAGGGGTAGGGGTAGTGGGAGGGGCAGGGGAGAGGAAAGAAGGGAAAGGAAAAATTATGAGAAATGGAAAAAATGGAAACAAGTCTTTGTGAATAGGGAAGGGTTGGGGGGTGAAGGGAGGGCAGGGAACAGGGAAAAAATAAGAACCAAGATATATCATGTAAAGGTACAAGATCCCAATGAGAAATGTAAGTGTACTGTATACCTAAAATGTACCAATAAAAGAATTTTTAAAAATAAAAAATAAAGTGGACCCACTCATAAAAGGCACATGCACTTTAACTTCAGCCATCAAAACTCCAAGGTTCTTTTTCATCAAAGTACTTGGACAAATATATACATATCATGTGTACTCCAATCTTATTTATCATAACAAAAGTATGAGACAATTTAAACGCCTCCCCAAACAGAATGGCAAAGTCACTTATGGCACATCCAAACTGATGAATCATTTGAAGTTGTTAAAATGAATAAAGTAGCATTGTGCGGACTGACACACATGCTATGCTGTTAAGGCTCAAAAATGTTGTAAAAATGGGATAGTACAATCACAATTTGGGCAAAAAAAATCCAGAAAGGAATATAGAGAAAAAACCAGATATGCACATTGTTTCAGCTCATGGGGGTTCCCCAGGGCAGTGGGAGTGAGAACCACAGCAGACTGGAAAGGCTTTCACTTTTTACTTTGCATATGGCTCTATGATTATCATGTTTTTCACAAACATAGAAAATTAAAAGACATATATAATAAAAAATAATTCATAAAAATCTTTAAAGGACCTCATGGCAAAGAATTAGCAGGGACCATCGCTGATGATAATTAAAGAAGAATCAAGCCTCAGAGAACATGGGAGACTGTTCCCTAAGATCTGAAAGAAGGCAGAGTCAGAGAGGGTGAAGGCAGAAGCAAGGAGAAGATGGCCATTTGTACTAGACCTCAATTTCAAAGATGACTGCCAAGTAGGCAAGTTTGTGCAAGGAAGCAGCAGGGAAACTGTCGCAAGCACTGAGATCAAAATGTGAACGATATGCAGGCCCCTATGAGGATCACCCACATCTATTGATGTCCTAGGAACCATCATTTGGCCATCACTTAGAGCATCAACTTGGTACTTTGGTGGGAGCATCCATCAGAAACAAGTGTAGGACAAACATCTTAGGAAGGAAGTGATACCCAAGAAAGATGCACGGTGGTAATTTAGACTACAGTGTGGTGTCTGGACTTCAAACTTAGCCCAAGTCCCATTCCTAACTCTCATGCCTGAGTCCTGGAAAGGAGGGTAGGGGGAGAATGAGAATAAATAGAATTCTGGTCACATTCTTTGTCTTGTTTTGGGTGCTGGTCCCTTGGGTGCGTTGGGTTTTAGAAAATCCAGCAGTAGCCGTATGTGTCTGCTATGTCTTAAAACATGTGCATATATGTCTACTATACTCTATAAAATGTATTTTATGAAATGTAAATATGCGTATCAATTTTTTAAATCTTCTAAGGACCAGGAGGGAGGACTCTTTAGACCCCAAGAGAACAAAATTAGAGGGATCTTTTGTTTATTCAGGCATTTTGGGGGTCCAGG